AAAATATTTGATGCACAACTTCAAATTCTAATATGTAATAATAATCTGCGTCCAGAAATCGTTGATGACACTCCAAAATGTTACTTAAACTTAATGAAAAGATGTTGGGAAAAAGAACAAAAAACACGACCATCGGCAGTAGAAATTGAAGAAATTTTAAATGAATGGCAAAATGATGAAAAAATTTTATTAGAACTTTCAGAATCAAAGAAAATAGCAAAAAATACACATAAGACAACATATGAAGATGCACTTTACAAAAGCAAATTTACTCATTATACTTCGTTTTATCAAGGTAATAAACCTAATTTACTAATTTTTGATTATAATGCAATTAAATTTTAATAATCTTTGTTTTATAGATAGCAACTTAAAGGATTTGCATGTTTAATAACATTTACATTTAGCTTATTAGGAATTTTGTGTAAAATATTTAAAAATTTATCTAAGATAAAGTTTACTTTATTGATTTATTTCGTTATTCTCTTTTCTTTAGCTTAACATTTATTATTTCAGTTTATACGATATTTAAATTAAAATGCTGCCTTTTTTTTACAATTAACATAATAATAACGCACTTAGAAAAATTATACAAATAAATCGACTTAATATTTAATTTACTAAGAAATTGTAAAGCTTAAATTTAAAAGGACGAAAAGCATTGGTACGACTGGTTATGTAGTTGGATGAATGCCGGCTAGCCAAAGGTGCCGGAAATAAATTCAATTAAATTCAATTCAATTAAAGGACATGAAGTCCGCAGAATACATTATGACATTATGAGTAATTTTAGCTAAGTAAATTTAGCTAAGTAAATCGAACTGAAACGATGATATGCTCCCAGAAAATTAGCAAGTGAGATTGCGCCAGGTATCATCGTAACAGTAGAACGAGCGAGAAGTAGAATGAGCGAGAAGCAGCATCAGCCGGTGGTTTCCCGCCTGCTCGAAGCAGGCCGGCTGTTAAATAGGAAAATGGCAGAATCAGGAGACTACAGTGTGTGGTGGGAGAGGTTGGGTCGAGAAATTTGTTTGCCGAAGACTAATGTGTCGAGGTGGGAAAGGTGTCGAAGCCATTTGTTTTCAGTTATTTATATATTGATTGTGGTAGGTGGCTTTTATATTACGTTTGTTTCAGGTTGCATATTGATTCATGCAATTTTACTGATTGACTCGTTCTTTGACCCGACCCATGCCCTCTGCCCCGTGATCTAAGTGCGGGGTTATAGCACGTGGCGTGTAACCCTGACCAGTTCTTCCCTTACTTTTCGATCCGTTGACTCTTGTCAACACGCATGATAAAAATATTCGCGCAATGCATGTTTTCATTAACGATTCCCCAAATATCCTATAAAAATTTGTTACTTTTTTTAGTAATTTCTATGTAAATACTTTATAAATACATTTCTAGCGTGACTATTAAAGGAAAAAAAAAATTAGATTATTAATATAAATAATAAAAAAGAAAAAAAAAACAGTTTATTAATAAATTATAATAAAATGTATTTTACAGTAATTAATTATTTAAATAACTATGTAAATGTTTTTTGTCTCAGCCTATAATTATTTTAAAAACCCAAGTCAACTACTTTGACTCAGCCTATAACTATTTTAAAAACCCAAGTTAACTACGAAATGGTTCACCCAGCTAGGGATGTTATGTGGTCCGGTCTTAGACTAATAGACCACAGTTAGTCTTAAGACTAGTCTGAAACCGAAAAAAATTGGTCTGTTCCAAATCTTAAGACTGGACCGGTCTGAACCGGTCCGACTATCATTATATTCATAAGTTAGTCCTCGTTTGGAATATCATCGATACTTGGATTTAGAGCTGTGTTTAGTGTAGCAAGCCGGCTTAGCCGCTTCAGCCGGTCTAAACGCAAATATAAATATTTATCGTATGGGTCTTATGTAACAACCCGTGCTTTTTTATTGAAAGCATATAAATCATGTGATTTCTATAGCGAATGTTATTACGAATTGAAAAGGATTGAACGGATGATCAACTAAGTAACCGTAATTGATTTTTAAGCCGATTAACTTTGAAAATTCGGTTCGGTTAATCGATTGAAGAAATCTATCACATGAATGTCTACTTAAATGATCGACAAAAAATGATTTATATAAATTCGGTGAGAGTTTCAATTTTTCGAAGTTTCGCATTTTTCCACATTATTTTTTTGATAACAAATTATCGAACAATTTTAAAAGGGAATTGTGTATAAAATTGATAATGTTTACCTATTTTGGAGATTAAAGTTTTCTAATAAATGAGTATAAATAGTTTGTTAAATTTCAAGAATTAAAATTTGATTAAGACAAAAAAAAAAAAAAAAAAGAAAAGAAAAACGATTATAATACTATATCATTATTAATTTTTTTTGAACAAATTTATCTTATTAAAATTATTATTATATTAAAATTAAGTCATTAATCAATAATGACAAGATATCGTCCATTGATAATGTTAGCTGTGGGAATAACATTTATATATTGGATAATATCATTACATAAAGCACCTTTTCCTTATCCTCGAAATATAATATTAACAAGAGATGTAATATTTGGACATTCTTTTGAATTATATAAACCTGATGGTATATTCATTTGTGCTCAAAATGATTGGGTTTATTTAACAGCTATATGGAAAGGGTATGGATCAGATTTTGATGATGCTACTGGTATGTTTTAAAAAAAAAATGAGACGATATAAAATAATAAGTTTATTATATAAATTAGGATGATATTTTTTTTTTTTTTTTATGTTCTTTTGTATAGGGCTTATTAAACAATATAGGCGTCCATTACATTTACTCTTATCATCTAATAATTTTGGTCCAGATAATGGTATTTAATAAATTTTCTTTTTTTTTTGATTTGGTAAATTCCCGAATTTTTTTGATAGATACTTTTATTATAGTTAAAATCTAATATAATTTATTTTTGATCGTATAAAATCTTAAAGAATGGAAACTTCTTTATGTTCATCGTTTGGATGGTCCAATAGCGCATACATCAAGTTATCATCATAAAAATAACTTGATAACAACAGATTATGATTATGATGAAAATAATGCGTTAGCAGTATTATATCAAAAACAAGAAGAAGAACAAATTCAATATGTTTTAAGATTATATAATATAGGAAATTTTGAATCAGGAAGTGCTGATTCCGATTATGTTGGTAAGTTTTTTAATATTTATCTTTCCTTTTTTAACGATGCTTATCTTATAATCATTTAAATATCCAAGATATAATTATGCCTGGCACAACAAAAATTAAATCATTTCATGTGGAAGATTCTTTGATTTTATATTCAAGGTAATGAGTCATTTATCAATTATTTTTTTTTTTATATTTTATTTATCTTAACTATACAAAATAAATAAATACAAAATATATATATAAATAAACAAGCAATGTTCTCTAAATTTGCAGAAATCCTGATAATGCCAAGTTTCGAACTATTCAAATACCTAGAAATATATTTGAAATTGGAAAGCGAAAAAATGAAGCATTAATTATAAAGTCTGGTGAATCAGGACCAACTCAAAGTTAGTACTTACATATTTAATATATAAATTAAGCACATTTAGTTGAATATTTTAATTCTTATATCATAGGAATCACACGAGAAGAACCATCGAAACGAAAAACCTTGACATATCGTCGTGTATATGCGGCGTACGTATATTCTTTTAATTAATTTGGGATATTGAAAATCATAATTAAATATTTTTTTTTTTTATCTTATCCTGAAAAGATCAGGCGTTATCCGTGTTATGAATGCAGAAATAACAGCAGATGAAGAGTCATGGACTTTTCAAGTTACAGTTATTCATAATTCTTCATCCGTTGAAGATACTAGCTGGCGAAATAAAAAATTAATTTCGGTAGAATGTTTAATTCAATAATCAACTGTTTATAATATATCATAATACATAAATATATAATTGCCACATTTTTTTTTGTTTAATCAGTATACTCAAAGTTCACCAAAAAGAATAGAATACGATCAATTTGATTTTGTACGTGGTATAACTCCTATATCACCTACTATAATTCCAAAACCAATTGTTGGTAAAATTATAATTTTTATAACTTTATTATTAATGATAAATTTTATTACTTTTCATTTAATCTTTATATAAATTTTTTTTTTTCAATTCAGTGACTGCACGTAACATGACAACGATATGCATTGCTTTGAATGATATTTTATTCACTTTTGATTATAGTAATACTACATCTGCATCAGATCCTAAACAAGATTCTTATAGTAAAGAAGCTTATATAGTTCGTAGTGAATATCTACCAGTTCTTGAAGAATTACCATTTCAAGTTATAGGGGCTGAAGTTAACGCTAATGGTAATATATTACTTCTTGTTACCCAGGTAAATAAATTAATTTTAATATTTTATCATATAAAAAAATAAAAATAAAAATAAATTATACAAAAAAAAAAAAAAAATTATCAAATATTTAAAGTTCATATAAAAAAATTATTAGGAAAATTATATATTAATATATAAACGAGGACTTGCTGATATTCATTTAACTTCATCAACACGTTCAAGAAAAGGATGGTTTGATAGATTAATAGATGATAATCAAATAAATAATTCAAATCGTGCAACAAATATTAATGGTGAAAATTGGGAATTGAGAATGGTTATTACATCATCTTATTTAGATTTCGTAAGTCAATCAGATCTGGTAAGATTATTAATATATTATATATTTATTTCAATTAAATTGTTATTTAATTATAAATGTTATATATGTATAGGGGGTTATAGCGGTAAAAACATTAAATATTTCTAGATTACAACCTGAATACGTAGGAAAAAATGTTACTGAAAATATTCTGTGTGAGTTGTTGTTCATTTATATTTGAATATATATATATATTTTTTTTAATTGAAAACTTTTTTTCGCTAATTATATGTTATACATATGAATTTGGATGTACTTTAAATAACCAGTAACATTATTTGAAAATGGTAGAGTTGCAACTTTTAATTTGGATAGAGCAGAACAAGAAATGAAACTATGGTTTATTATTAAAAGACGATGGCAAATGTATATAGGTACGTACTATAACAATTACTATAATTAAATTTTTTATAAATTTATCAAACTTTATGTTAATGAATTAAATATTTTATAGGAATGATATGTGTAGTGTTGGTTTTTGTTTGGAATGAAATGCACTGATTTTATAATATTAAGTCAAATAAATAAATTTCCGAAAATTTTGGCATCATCTTAAAAGATTATATATGACTTAAACTGTGCTTTTTAACTTTAAGGAAATTAATTTATTAGTCTTTGAAGGATTCGACATGATATCATAATATTTTTATGATGTAATTCAAAATCATTATTTCTGTTTATTTTAAAGAGATGTGATACATCGATGAAATTAATTTTTTATTTTATTTTTTTATATAGGAAGAACCAGCATGGAAGTATAATATTATTTATATATTTGTAGTTTCGTATAATTAGAACAGTTTTGTTTTTTTTTTTTTTTTGGAATATGTGCAATTTTGATTGTATAAAATGTTGTAGCTAATATACCGGAAATCTTTAAATTAAGAAAGATGCTATAAGTGCCAATGTATTTAAAAACTTTTCCTTAAAGTTGATAACATTGTCTCGATTATCTTATGGCTATGTATAAAGTTTTTTTTTTTTTTCGTAAATTTTCACTCGCGACGTTATATGAATTATATTTATTCTCGTTAACCTGCATTTCGAACCATAGGTTAGTAGTATAATTATTTAAACCGAAATATGATTACAATACCCAACAAATAATAATTTTAATAATTCCGCACCGTCTATAATTCGTGTGTGTTATGATATTATGAAAATGAATCCCCCTTGACTTCTAACCAAATCGTTATTTAAATTATATAACGATAATAATTTCCTTATGATTATTTTATCAAATCCATTCAAAGCAAATTTACCGTGTTAGTTAATTAAACTAGTAAGTAAATAAATAAATAAGTAAATCGTACTGCTTCTATAATAATTATATCAATATCAAAGCTTAATGCCAAATGAGGGAATGAGTTTTGTGCATGACTAAGTGAAGCGAAACTATAACTATGATTTTGCCTAATATACATGAAAAGACCATTATTCATTTATATTAATATATTAATATATATATATATATAAGCAATTTAAGCAAGCAATGTAAATGATTTTTTTAAAGCAGATTGTAAAAAATAAAAATGTCACGTAACGTTCATATAATGTCTATAATGACGAAAAATCAATTGGATAGTTTTAGTTTTTGTCTTCAAAGATATCACTGTTATCCTCACTATAAATAATATCAAAATCCGTTTCGCTCTCTTCTGCATCCAATAATTCATAGTATTCTCGAACCAGTTTTTGCTTGAGAATTTTCCTATTACACATTTTATTCAATTTTTTTTTTTTAGTTAGAAATGAGAATCTATAGTAAATCAAAGTCCAAGAGTGATTCTTATTTTATATCCTATTATATACCATGATCTTTCAGTGAAAGGTCGATTATACTTGTAGGCCTTGGATAGAGATAAACATTTTTCAAGATAAGCACGATTCCAAATAAGAAAACCATTTTCATTTGTTTCCAATATCATTTCATTTAATTTTTCATCAATAACTTTTTTTCTTTCATATCTTTGTTGTCGTCTTGCACTTTGATCTTCTATATTACGCCTATTAAGTTCTCTTTCACTTTGTTTATATTTTTTATATTGTTGTTCTCCCCATTTTAATCGATCAGTTTGAGATAATGATTCAATCTCTTTGATTTTTTCAATAACTTGATCTTTCCAATAAATTCTTGTACCATTCATATCCCATCTACAATGTAATACCTGAAGAATAATTGGTTCAATGTCTTGGGAATCAATTTTGTAATTATCGCATCTATAAAAAAAAAAAAGAAAAATTTTTTTTTTTAAAAGACTTAGAAAAAAAAGTATTTAAAATTTTATAAAAGAAATAATGAAATACATATATATATATATACCTAACCATACGAGTTTCCAAGCATCCCGCACAACATCGAACTCTACGCTCCCAATAAACTTTAGTAGATTTCCTTTTACGACCACAAAAGTGACATTTATTCTCTAATAAAAATCTGACATATTGTCTTTCACTCATTCCTTCAGGTGGAACAAGTTTACGATAAGGCATAAAAGAATAACGAGATTGACGCCAAATTTCTTGAATTGCTAAAGAATCTTCACAATAAAGATCATTATAAAATAATTTACAAGTTCTCGAAAGAGAAAGTAAATCAGCTGGTGATAAACTTTTACAAATCTGCAAGAAAGTTTCTGGTGGAAGCGTACAGAGTGGTGAAGGCTTGTTTACTTTTGCTAAATGAGATGATTCTGAAATTTCTTGTAAATTAGTAGGATCAACATCTTTTTGTTCAATAGGTGGAGTTGATTTAATTGTACGTCTTGTCTGAACCATTTTTTTTTTTTTTTTTTTTTTGAAACCTTTTTAAATGAAATAATTAATCGATGGTTAAATAAAAACAATAATATAAATAACAAATGATGTATGATATATATATTTTTTATTACCTTTTTATATAAGAAATTATCTTTATATAAAAGTTATTAGAATTATTAGTTAATTAAAATTTCAAAATATTATTATTTTTTTAATTGAAAAAGAGAGATCAGGAAACAAAAGATTATATTTTTTATTATTTAATGAAACTTTAACGAGGTTATCCATTCTTTTTATCTACAAAGAAATACAGCGCATTAAATCTGATGTAAGTTTGTGACGTTATAATATTTAAGCAGTCGAGTATCTAGAGTTTGAGAGTATGATAAAAGAAGTTTTTTTAAGTTTTTAACCAGATCATTACAAATAATTAAATAAATTATAGTATATTTGAATATCATGATAATATAAATATGGATAAAATGAAGTTAATTAAGAATCTCTAATATAGTTATATCATTGGTAAACTTTGTATATGATTTATCAATCTTAATAAATTTTGGTTTATATTATAACGTATCGGTACATATAAAAAAAAACAATTGACGATCTTTCTAATACTCTTTTGTAAATACGCAGAATAAACAAAATTATGCAGTGTACCAAATTATTCTGCCATAAAGTTAATTAATAAAGATGGTTAATTAATAAAGATGATAACGCAAAATTTTCTTCGGATTATCCTTTTTTTTTTTTTTATGAAATTAAACGACGAGAATATTATAAATAGTTTAAAAATTTCTTGGCATTTTAATATTTCTAAAAAACAATACTTATGCATAACAAATAATTGTATTAATATATAAAACCATTTGATGATTCCATATTTCAACATCGAATATACGAGATATTTATAATATACGAAATTTGTATTAAAAAAAAAAAACAAAAAAGTACATAAGTTATAATTTTTCTAAAGTGATCGAGTCATAAAATCTATAGTATAAATAATTATCAAATCACAAATAATAATATTAAAACAAAATGAACACTTTCGATCCCGATTATTTGATACTTTAAGCAGTAAATAACAGATAAGAGGTTCAGCATTACTAAAATTAACATAATCTATAACTTTACGAACATTTTCTATCAATTCTTCAGTGACTGACAAACACCAATTGACGATTAAATTTGTACTAATCGATTTATTGATAAAGGCATCTTGCTTGTTAATTTTTAAAAAAGTGTATACATTTTTTGGGCATATCAGCACTATTACCATTTTCTAAACAAAGAGATCCTAAACTTGAACAAACATCTAACAATAATAAGAAAGTTTCAAAACTTTTTATTATCACCAGTAGAGAAACAAACAGTAATTCCTGTTAGATTTTCACAAATGATCTCATTATTTTTAAGTAGTTGCCATCGGTAATGATACTCTTTTCAAATTTTGATGAGTAGATTTGATAAATTCGATTATCACCTTTTCAGTAAACCATAGCTAATACTTTTAAATTTTGAAGTGTTAGTTTAACATTTTCTTCAGTAATACCTTCGCAATTAAGAAAGCCTAATCTTTCAAGTTTGGTACATTCAGAGAGAGGTTGAAGAGTTGGACATTGATTAAATTTACATCAAAAGAATTGTATTAAGAGTTCGTTTTTGTATTGACGAAGTTCAGGAGTAACAATAAAGTTCTTTTCATTATAATAAATGCTAGGAAGTCGAAAAAATCTTTTTTGAGATCTAATTAGCTCATTCAATGAAAGAGTTTCATCAGAATGTTCAATTAAAAGAGATCTATAATACTTCAATTGAATTACATCTTAAAGTATGGGTGATCACAAAAATAATTGAGATGTAATAATCTAAGAGCGGTATAACTATTATTTATACAACTATCGAAAGAACTCGAAAGAACAATAACCGTTAGAATAATAATCATCAGATTTGATAAAAATACTTTTGACATTTGGGCTCTTGTTCATAAAAAGCCTAATAAGATTATCTAAGAACCATTTTGTATTTTGATCACGTTTATTTCAAATGGAGTCATCAGTAACCATTAATTAATGTTAGAACATCTTAAATTCACGGATATTTTTTCAATAATTTTTGCAATATACTTTGTCCATTTTTTAAAAGCATTTGATCTGAAAGATAATCAGGTTCAGGATCGGTTTGTAAGCAATAATTATAATACGACAGGGTGAAAACCCAAGTTTTTTAGGTTATCTTTTTGATGCTTTATTAGGGTTAGGGTTAGAAAGTGTATCAGACTCAGGTTTAGGTTTCACCCTGTCATATTATAATTATACTCACTGACTAAATTAATGCGTGATGAAATGATTTGAAGTGTATTAAGTAATGATAGTCGTATCCGCCAATTTTGTTTTTTGGACCTTTTTTTATACCTTAATATGTATCTTATTAATTATAAAATCTCATTAGCGTTAATTTTTTTTTTTTTTTATCCCTAATGCAGACATCTAGGGGCGCGTGTGGCGCTCTTTTATTTTACTACAATTTGTAAGGTTCTTACATATGACTTAAGTCTATAATATTACATTATACCCCGGGTCTCTAATCCCGCGGTGTACGACCCCTAACGGTCTTCAATTCCCCAACTCACATGACCTACAGATGCAGTATCACTTTTATTAATGTCTGATTTTTGCACCTTTTCTGGCGGATTTCTCCTTGTCTGGTAGTGTGACATCCGTGGTTAAGCCAGCTACCCCAGCAGGACCATGAAAGATCAGCGCATATGCACCAATCAGATCTCTTCTAACAATCGACTCTCTATGAAACCACCTTCTGCGCACTAACAAAAAAAATTCTCCG